CTCTCTCTCTCTATTTATCTATCTCTCTATCCATTTATCTTATCTATCTATCTATTTATCTCTATCTATTTATCTCTATCTATTTCTCTCTCTATCTCTCTATTTATCTCTCTATTTATTTATGTATTTATCTCTCTATCTATCTCTCTATTTCTCTCTCTTTCCCTCTCTTTTTCTATCTGTCTATTTATCTCTCTATCTAGCTAGCTATCGATTTATCTCCCCCCCCCTCTATTTATCTATCTCTCCATCTATCTCTTCTGTCTATCTCTCTATTTATCTCTCTATTTGTGAATTTCATATTTAGACTTGGTTCCCATCCCCAAGATCTTTCATTACAAGGATGGATTAGCAAATATTGTCATTCCAGAGTCCAAACATTTGGGCCCCAAGCATTTCAGATAAAGGGGTCCCTCCCTATCCCCCCCCCCCCCCCCCCCCCCCAATCTTCTGGTTCCAAATGTTCTGTGACGTCCGGGAAAGGGAGGCTTTGTGTACGGAGATTTACCTGCTGCTTTCCTCTCTCAGACCCAAGGAAGCCGGCGCCATGGCGGACGAAAACAGCCTGGACTTGAAAATTGAGGAGAACGAGAGCGACTGCTTCGAGGTGGATCCGCAGAGCGGCGCTGCCGAGCCGAGCACGCTGCTGCAAAAGTTGAAAGGCGCCATTTCGTAAGAGACGCTTCTTATTGCTGTTGGGATTCAACCCCAGATTGCACAAGTCTCAAGTCCTCAGTGAGGAACAATTGCTTTTCCTTTCTCAGGCAACGTCATCAGAGCCATGGATCGCTGATTCCATGACACTGCAGACGAGAGGCGTGCCCTAAATAACGCCTGAAAATGGGAAACCATATTTCGACTATGCCAACTTTTGCAACGTGGAAAAGTTGGGTTTTTGAACTGCAGCTCCCATTATCCCCCAGTTAAGGATCCTGGGAGTTATCCAAGCATTTTCAAAAAGTTGTCATTCACAGCATCTAGATTTGGGGCCGTGCACAACAAACACAACAATAGTAGTAACAATAATAATATTTATTTTATTTATCGTGTCAGAAGCGAATTGAGAAAACTCACAGCAACCCAGTAAGGAGCCTTGTGTTGACTTCCTTCTTAACGTAAGGAACCTTGGAAACATTTCATTAACTTAGCTTAGCGCGGAAACCTCACAGCAACCCAGTAAGGAGCCTAGTGTTGACTTCCTTCTTAACGCAAGGAACCTTATAAACATTTCATTAACTTAGCTTAGCGCGGAAACCTCACAGCAACCCAGTAAGGAGCCTAGTGTTGACTTCCTTCTTAACGTAAGAAACCTTATAAACATTTCATTAACTTAGCTTAGTGCGGAAAACTCACAGCAACCCAATAAGGAGCCTAGTGTTGACTTCCTTCTTAACGTAAGGAACCTTGTAAACATTTCCTTAACTTAGCTTAGCGCGGAAAACTTACAGCAACCCAGTAAGGAGCCTAGTGTTGACTTCCTTCTTAACGTAAGGAACCTTGTAAACATTTCATTAACTTAGCTTAATGCGGAAAACTCACAGCAACCCAGTAAGGAGCCTAGTGTTGACTTCCTTCTTAATGTAAGGAACCTTGTAAACATTTCCTTAACTTAGTTTAGCGCGGAAAACTTACAGCAACCCAGTAAGGAGCCTAGTGTTGACTTCCTTCTTAACGTAAGGAACCTTGTAAACATTTCCTTAACTTAGCTTAGCGCGGAAAACTCACAGCAACCCAGTAAGGAGCCTAGTGTTGACTTCCTTCTTAACGTAAGGAACCTTGTAAACATTTCATTAACTTAGCTTAGTGCGGAAAACTTACAGCAACCCAGTAAGGAGCCTTGTGTTGACTTCCTTCTTATCGTAAGGAACCTTGTAAACATTTTATTAACTTACCTTAGCGCGAATACCTCACAGCAACCCAGTAAGGAGCTCTGTGTTGACTTCCTTCTTAACGTAAGGAACCTTGTAAACATTTCATTAACTTAGCTTAGTGCGGAAAAATCAAAGCAACCCAGTGATTCCAGCCATGAAAGCCTTCGGCAACACAATAATGATTTTTTTTTTGTATTTTTTCCCAACAGGAAATCTGTCCAGAACAAAGTCAATACTATCTTGGTAAGTGATGGGATGGGTGCCATTTAAATTCAAAGGCTCTATATATGTGCGTTTGCCAACTTACTAGAGCTGCCAACCTACCAACGTTTTGCTGCAGCTGTACCTTTAGCAAACCACCGGAACCATCAGCTGTGGACATTTAACTCTGGCCATCGTGTGCCAACCTTGGTATTGATCCATCCCTATTTCTGCCCATACAGCAAGATGTCCAGAGGTTTTCAGACCACGCCAAACTCTATCTCTACCTCCAGCTACCTTCAGGTCCAAGTTCAGGAGAGAAAAGGTGAGTAGATGGGTCTTGTGATACCAGAAGTTGCTTTGATATAACACAAAAATATCTATATAAATATCTATATAAATAAAAATACAATGTTTGTTTGTGGGATTAACATAACCCAAAAACCACTGGATGAATTGACACAAAATTTGGACACTATACCCCTAACAGACCAACAAGTGACCATCACTCATTGGGAAAGGACTTAAAAACGCAAAAAAAACCCCTAAATGTCGAAAAGCTAAATGATGATACAGGAAAAAAGGGAAGGAAGAGGGAGGGAGGGAAGGAAGGAAAGAAGAGAAAGAAGGAGGGAAAGAAGTAAAGAGAGAAGAAAGCATGGAAGCAAAGAGCAAAGGAAGGAAGGAAAGAGGTAGAGAAGGAAGAAAGGAGAGAAAGTGGAAGGGAAAGAAAAAATGATAGGGAAGGAAGGAAGGAGAGAGAGAGAGAAAGGAAGGAAGGACAGGAAGGAAAGAGTGAGCGAAGGAAGGAGAGAAAGGGAGAGAAGGAAAGAAAGAGAAGAAAGGATGAAAGCAAAGAGCGAAGGAAGGAAGGAAAGAGATAGAGAAGGAAGAGAGGAGAGAAAGTGGAAGGAAAAGAAAAGGGGGAAGGGAAGAAAGAGGTAGAGAAGGAAGGAAGGAGAGAGAAAGAAAGAAAAGGAAAGGAAGGAGGATAAGAAGGAGAGAAAGTGGGAGAGAAGAAAAGAAAGAGAGAAGGAAGGACGAAAGCAAAAAGCGAAGGAAGGAAAGGGGTAGAGAAGGAAGAAAGAAAAGGGGAAGGAAGAAAAGAGGTAGAAAAGGATGGAAGGAGAGAAGGAAAGAAGGAAAGGAAAGGAAAAGAAGGAAGGAAGGAGGGAGCGAAAGGAAGGAGAGAAAGAGCAAGGGAAGATTGGCGGGTACAGCTAGCATGTATATAAATATTGTATGTATGTATGTATGTATGTATCTTGTAAGCTGCCCTGAGTCCCCTTCGGGGTGAGAAGGGCAGTGTATAAATATTGTAAATAAACAAATAAATTTGTTCCTATAGTATCTTCAAAAAGGAAAACAAACATGAATTAGAGTCAGTCTAAAATCGTAGAATTAATTCTGTTTGATGCCACCTTAACTACCATGGCTCTGTCCTATGGAAACTTGGGATTCGTAGTTTGTTGGCTCACCAGGACTTCATGGCTTGAGTGGCTTGAATATGAGAGTCAGTCACTGAGTTTGCAGATCGTGTGTTGAATGAGATGCCGTTTCCAAAAGAGTGACAACATTTCTTCTCGGGCCTCACAGCTTGGACCTGACCTCCCTGAGTTCGGCCGAACACATGCATGCCTGTACCTGGATCCAGAACCACCTGGAAGAGTATCCAGATACCTGCCTGCCCAAACAGGACGTCTATGATGCTTACAAGTAAGATCCCAATGGAAAGGGGGTGCGGGAAGGCCAAAGGTGTTCCTTTGTAGGTGAACTATAAATCCCAGCAACTACAACTTCCAAGTGTCAAGGTCTATTTTTCCCAAACTCCACCAATGTTCACATTTGGGTATATTGCGTATTTGTGCCAAATATGGTCCAGATCCATCATTATTTGAGTCCACAGTGCTCTCTGGATGTAGGTGAACTACAGCTCCCAAACACAAGTCACTTCTCGCTAAACCCTTCCATTATTTTCAGTCGGTCGAGGGAGTTCTGTGTGCCAAGTTTGGTTCAATTCCATCATTGGTGGAGTTCAGAATGCTCTTTGATTGTAGGTGAACTATAAATCCCAGCAACTACAACTCCCAACTGTCAAGGTCTATTTTTCCCAAACTCCACCAATGTTCACGTTTGGACATATTGCATATTTGTGCCAAATGTGGTCCAGATCCTTCATTATTTGAGTCCACAATAAATAAATTTGAGTCCACAGTGTTCTCTGGATGTAGGTGAACTACAACTCCCAAACACAAAGTGCTTGGGAGTCAGTGCTCACTCAACCCTTCCATTATTTTCTGTCAGTCGTGGGAGTTCTGTGTGCCAAGTTTGGTTCAATTCCATCATTGGTGGAGTTCAGAATGCTCTTTGATTGTAGTTGAACTATAAATCCCAGCAACTACAACTCCCGAACGCAAAGTCAATGGTCACTAAACCCTTCCATTATTTTCTGTTGGTCGTGGGAGTTCTGTGTGCCAAGTTTGGTTCAATTCCATCATTGGTGGAGTTCAGAATGCTCTTCGATTGTAGGTGAACTATAAATCCCAGCAACTACATCAATCCCCCACCAACCCCTCCAGCAATCAGATTTGAGCATATTGGGTATTTGGGCCAAATTTAGTCCAGTGAATGAAAATACATCCGCATATCAGATATTTACATTAAGATTCATAACACTTACTCCAAGGTCAGTCACAGGAGGCAAAAACGACATCCTTAAGTAAGGACTCGAGTAAGACGAATTGGCAGAAAACTCTCACAGGTCAACACCTGGCAATAGGGACCTAAGCAAGGATTTACGTTTACAGATTAGGGCAGATAGTCAGCTCTGTCGATCAACAAGTTTCCATGGAAAATAGAAAGGGAAAGTCAATGGAAGACGCCATGTCTTCATGTCTGTTTATTAACAGTCTGTGGGAACTCTAAATTCAGTTCAGGCAACGTGGTGTTTGAGTGAGAAGCTAGACCTGAGCTCTCTGGTTCTTGTTTCAAGTCAAGCCTTGGTTTTGGATTTCAGTTTCCTGGAATGTTTCCATGTTCTTGTTCCTGTATTCCTGCTCCAGTTTTACTCAGTACATCTTTTGCTTGTGGAATTAAGCTGTATTTGTGATTTTTGGCTATCTTTGGACTATGTTACCTTTGGATCTATAAGAGACATTTGGATTCCTGCCTGATTATCACTTATTGCTAGACTTTATTGGATTGCCGTATACATCATCTTTCCTTATTCTTGATTTTTTCATATATTTTTTTGTTTGTTTCTTATACTGTTTGTTTGTTTGTTTGCTTATACTCTGTTTATTTGCTTATACTGTTTGTTTGTTTGTTTGCTTATACTCTTTGTTTGTTTGTTTGCTTATACTCTGTTTGTTTGTTTGCTTATACTCTTTGTTTGTTTGGTTGTTTCCTTATACTCTGTTTGTTTGTGTGCTTATACTCTTCGTTTGTTTGTGTGCTTATACTCTTCGTTTGTTTGTGTGCTTATACTCTTCGTTTGTTTGTTTGCTTATACTCTTTGTTTGTTTGTTTATACTCTGTTTGTTTGCTTATACTCCTTGTTTGTTTGTTTACTTATACTCTGTTTGCTTATACTCTTCGTTTGTTTGTTTGCTTATACTCTGTTTGCTTATACTCTTCGTTTGTTTGTTTGTTTATACTCTGTTTGTTGCTTATATTCCTTGTTTGTTTGTTTGCTTATACTCTGTTTGTTTGTTTGTTTGCTTATACTCCTTGTTTGTTTGTTTGCTTATACTCTGTTCGCTTGTTTGCTTATACTCCTTTTTTGTTTGTTTGTTTACTTATACTCTTTGTTTGTTTGTTTGTTTATACTCTGTTTGTTGCTTATACTCCTTGTTTGTTTGTTTGCTTATACTCTGTTTGTTTGTTTGCTTATACTCTGTTTGTTTGTGTGCTTATACTCTTCATTTGTTTGTTTGTTTGCTTATACTCTGTTTGCTTATACACTTTGTCTGTTTGTTTGTTTATACTCTGTTTGTTTGCTTATACTCCTTGTTTGTTTGTTTGCTTATACTCTGTTTGTTTGTTTGTTTGCTTATACTCCTTGTTTGTTTGCTTATACTCTGTTTGTTTGCTTATGCTCCTTGTTTGTTTGCTTGCTTATACTCTGTTTGTTTGTTTGTTTGCTTATACTCCTTGTTTGTTTGCTTATACTCTGTTTGTTTGTTTGCTTATACTCCTTGTTTGTTTGTTTGTTTGCTTATACTCTGTTTGTTTACTTATACTCTTTGTTTGTTTGTTTGCTTATACTCTTTGTTTATTTCTTTCTTATACTCTGTTTGCTTATACTCTTTGTTTGTTTGTTTGTTTGTTTGCTTATACTCTGGAGTCTTGTGTGGTGATGTGGTCATAGGTGGCTCTAGGCCTGCGGTGCAACGGATAGATAGTAAAGGACTATATCCTCCACTTGTCTGTCCTAAATATATAAAGTCAACTTTGGTCTCTCCTACTCTTTTTACCCTCTGAACAGGCGATACTGCGACAACCTCTGTTGCCGATCCCTGAGTGCGGCGAATTTTGGCAAGATCATGCGGGAGATCTTTCCCAACATCAAAGCAAGAAGGCTGGGTGGACGCGGACAATCAAAATATCCTTCCATGTGTGATGTCAATCCTTCCTCCCTCTTTCCTTTCTCCAAATCCTCCTTCTGAAAAATTCAAGATCCTTTGGGATCTTGAATTTGTTCCATCCTAAGGGTGCATATAAGTAAAGGTTTCCCCTTGACATTAAGCCTAGTTGTGTTCGACTCTGGGTGGTAGTGTTCATCTCCATTTCTAAGCCAAAGAGCTGGCGTTGTCCATAGACACCTCCAAAGTTATGTGGTCAGCATGACCTCATGGAATGCCCTTACCTTCCTGCAGAAGTGTTACCTATTACTCACATTTGAATGTTTTCAAACTGCCATGTGGGCAGGAGCTGGGGCTAACAGCAGGAGCTTACCCCGCTCCTCGGATTCTAACAGCTGACCTTTCAGTCAGCAAGTTCAGCAGCTCAGCGGACCCCTTAAGTGCTAAAGTAAAGGTAAAGGTTTTCCCGTGAATTAAGTCTAGTCATATCCAATCCTGGGAGGTGGTGCTCATCTCCATTTCTAAGCCGAAGAGCCGGCGTTGTCCATAGATGCCTCCAAGGTCATGTGGCCAGCATGACTGTATGAAGCACTGTTACCTTCCGCAGAAATGGTACCTATTGATCAACTCACATTTGCATGATTTGGAACTGCAAGGTTGGCAGAAGCTGGAGCTAACAGCGGGAGCTCACCCCACTCCCCAGATTCGAACCACCAACCTTTCAGTCAGCAAGTTCAGCAGCCAGGGGGCTGTGTGCTAAATAAAGGTAAAGGTTTTCCCCTGACATTCAGTCGAGGCATATCCAACTCTGGGAGGTGGTGCTCATCTCCATTTCTAAGCCGAAGAGCCGGCATTGGCAATAGATGCCTCCTAGGTCATGTGGCCAGCATGACCTTTCCGCCAAAGCGGTACCTATTGATTTACTCACATTTATATATGTTTGAACTGCTAGGTTGTCTATAGACACCTCCTAGGTCATGTGGTCAGCATGACCTTCCCACCAAAGCGGCACGTATTGATCTACTCACATTTGCATATTTTGGAACTGCTAGGTTGTCCATAGACACCTCCTAGGTCATGTGGCCAGCATGACCTTCCCGCCAAAGCGGTACCTACTGATCTACTCACATTTGCATATTTTGGAACTGCTAGTTTGTCAGAAGCGGGGCCTAACAGCAGGAGCTCAACCCGCTGCCAGGATTCGAACCGCCAACCTTTTGGTCAGCAAGCTCAGCGGTTTAACCCACTTTGCCATATACATTCAGAACTCCATAGCATTGACCATTCAGGTGGGATCAAACTACATCCTTTTTACAGTGTAGATCCACCTTTAAGAGGTTTTTTGTGGCATCAGTGCTAGGATTCGCACTAAGAAACATGACTCTTGGGTGACCGCCTTAACCGTGCTGTCAACATATTGCTATAGCGGGATTCGGAGAAAAACTGTGGTCAACATGCCGCCGCTTCCCAGCCTGGACCTGAAAGAAGCCGAGATGGTAAGCTTCGTGGAACCATTGTTGACATAATCGGTGGCTTCTTATGTGGATGTCCATTGACACACAAGGTTAGAATTTCAGCCTGCACTGACTTGAGAAAATTGTCAACACCTTGGACCTAGTGCTCTTCCTGAGCTGATGTTGCCTTCCATCCAAAGGTTTCCGTCCTCTTTTTTCTATCTCAATTTTCTCTGTTTCCTGTCTATTTATCCAAATTTTTGCCTCTTGTCTATATATATAAATTTCCTCCTGGCGTCGTATGAGGAAACAAAACTCTAAAACCCCCCAACGAAACTCCACCAAACTTCCCATGCCCCAAGGGCAACCAACAAGGTACAAACTAATCCAGTCAGAAATCAAAAACACACAACAACAACCACAATAAACGGCAAAGCAACTGAGCATGCGCACTGGCGCAAACTCCCTGGCGCACGCACGCACATGGCCCCTCCCTCCCCCCCGGCGCGGCACACACACGCGCGCGCGCACGGCCCCTCCCCCCCCGGCGCGGCACACACACACACGCGCGTGCCCCCTCTCCCACCCGGCGCGGCACACACGCGCGCGCACCCCCCCCCCCCCGCCCCCCCCCCCCCTCCGGCGCGGCACACACACACATGCACACACACGCGCACATGCGCCCCCTCCCCCCCCCCGGCGCGGCACACACGCACACACGCACGTGCCCCCTCACACCCCCCCGCGCGGCACACGCGTGCGCGCGCCCCCTCTCACACACCCTGGCGCGGCACGCGCGCGCGCGCGCCCCCTCTCCCCCCTCCGGTGCGGCACACGCACGCGCGCCCGCGCGCCCCCTCACTCCCCTGGCGCGGCACACACGCGCGCGTGTGCGCCCCCTCTCCCCCCCGCGCGGCACACACGCGCGCGCGCGCCCCCATCCCCCCTCCCCTCCTCCCTCTTACCCTCCTCACGTTACCTCCAAGTCACGCCCCCTTCTAAACCCATCCCCCCTCCCCTCCTCACGTTACCCCCAAGCCACGCCCCTTCTAAACCCATCCCCCCTCCCCTCCTCCCTCCTCACGTTACCTCCAAGCCACGCCCCCTTCTAAACCCATCCCCCCTCCCCTCCTCCCTCCTCACGTTACCTCCAAGCCACGCCCCCTTCTAAACCCATCCCCCCTCCCTCTACCCTCCTCACGTTACCTCCAAGCCACGCCCCCTTCTAAACCCATCCCCCCTCCCCTCCTCACCTTACCCCCAAGCCGCGCCCCCTTCTAACCCCATCCCCCTCCCTCTCCCCTCCTCACGTTACCTCCAAGCCACGCCCCCTTCTAAACCCATCCCCCTCCCCTCCTCCCTCTACCCTCCTCACGTTACCTCCAAGCCACGCCCCCTTCTAATCTGTCAAGGAAGAATCATAGAATCATAGAATCAAAGAGTTGGAAGAGACCTCATGGGCCATCCAGTCCAACCCCATTCTGCCAAGAAGCAGGAATATTGCATTCAAATCACCCCTGACAGGAGAGAAAGAGGGAGGGAAAGAAAGAAGGAAGGAATGAGGTAGAAAAGGAAGAAAGGAGAGAAAGAGGGAGGGAAAGAAGAAGGAAGGAATGAGGTAGAAAAGGAAGAAAGGAGAGAAAGAGGGAGGGAAAGAAAAAAGGGGGAGGAAGGAAAGTTAGAGAAAGAAGGAAGGAGAGAAGGAAAGAAAAAAGGGAAAGAAGGAAGGAAAGAAGGAGCGAAGGAAGGGGGGAAGATGTAGAGAAAGAGGGAGGGAAGGAAAGATGGAAAGAGAGAAGGAAGAAAAGAGAGATGAGGAAAGAGAAAAGGAGAAGGAAGGAAGAGGGAGCGAAGGAAGGGGAAAAAAGTAGAGAAAGAGGGAAGGAAAGAAGGAGAGAAGGAAGAAAAGAGAGACAGCAGAAGAGAAAGAAAAAGGGGGAAGGAAGGAAAGCGATAGAGAAGGAAGGAAGGAGAGAAGGAAAGACGGGAAGGAAACATGGAGTGAAGGAAGGAGGGAAAGAAGGGGAGATAGGGGGAAGGTTGGCCACAGCAACGCGTGGCGGGTACAGCTAGTTTTTCATATATTGTACTTATCATGTTTTGGACATAATAGCCTATGTCCATTTCTTTCATCAGTAATTTGAAAAAATTCCAGTTTACATTGTCAAAGGCTTTCTCAGCATCTAAAGCCAAGAACATTACTTTTTTTTCATTTCTAATTTCATAGTATTCAATTATATCGATTATTATTCTTACGTTTTCTTTTTGTTGCCTTTTTGGTAGAAAGTCTAATTGTTCTTCTTTTATTTTTTTTCTGAGTAAGTTTTTAAGTCTCTCCACAACTTTCTTCCTCTCGTCTTTGCAGCCGGAGAGGACGGAGGTGGTCCAGTCCTACAACGACGAGGTGATGGACGCGGCCTGCGCCCTGACCTGCGACTGGGCCGAGAAGATCCTCAAGCGCTCCTTCAACAACATTGTGGAAGTGGCTCAGTTCCTCATCCAGCAGCACATCATCAGCTCCCGCTCGGCCCACGCCGATCTGGTCATGGCCATGGTGGTCTCAGGTGGGAACCTTGCCTTCTTCGCTCTTCTTCCCTTCTTCTTTTCCTTCCTCCTCTTTTTGGAGCCATCAAGCCCAGTTGAGTCCATCTTTCCATTCCGTTTCCGGTTCCAGAAACGGCCGAGAGCCACCGGGACAAGCGCCCCACACAAACCGTGAAGACGAGCGAACCAGATGCGCCGGAAAACACAGCCAAGGCACAACCTCAGGTAAGGAAGGCAGTGGGAAGGGGGCACACAGGTAACAAGTTGATCCGACGTTGTGGGCAAGTCGCACTCTTATGAACCCACTGCTGAGCTGCTGAACTTGCTGGCTGAAAAGTTGGTGTTCAAATCTGAAGAAAAGGGTGAGCTCCTGCTGTTAGCCCCAGCTCCTGCCAACCTAGCAGTTCAAAAACATGCAAATGTGAGTACCGTATATACTCGAGTATAAGCCGACCTGAATATAAGGCGAGGCACCAAATTTTACCACAAAAAAATGGGAAAATGTATAATAATAATAATAATAATAATAATAATAATAATAATAACTTTATTTATACCCCGCTACCGTCTCCCCAAGGGACTCGGTGCGGCTTACATAAGGCCGAGCACTTCTTTCTTCTTTTTTTTTGTACATGAACAGTAAAAGCAATAAGAGAATAATCAATACAACAGTTAAAATAAATCTCATAAACAAAAGTAAACAATAAACAGTATAAGCCGAGGGTAGGAAATGCAGCAGCTACGGGTCATAGAATCATAGAATCAAAGAGTTGGAAGAGACCTCATGGGCCATCCAGTCCAACCCCCTGCCAAGAAGCAGGAATATTGCATTCAAATCACCCCTGACAGATGGCCATCCAGCCTCTGTTTAAAAGCTTCCAGAGAAGGAGCCTCCACCACACTCCGGGGCAGAGAGTTCCACTGCTGAACGGCTCTCACAGTCAGGAAGTTCTTCCTCATGTTCAGATGGAATCTCCTCTATTCTATTTCTATTTCAAAATAGAAATAGATACCAATACAATTACATTAATTGAGGCATCAGTAGGTTAAATATATTTGAATATTTACATAAAACTATAGTTTAATATAAGACTGTGGGACTCTTGATTAAACCATTATTCTAACCCTCTTCGATGTAAATGTGCTTGCGTATCCTTCCAATAAAAATAGAGTAAAATAATACATGTAATAATAACAATAATAAAGAATAAAATAATAAATGTAATAATAGTAGAGTAAAATGATTAATGTAATAATAATAATAATAGAGTAAAATAATGGAAATGTAATAATAACAGTAATAATAGAGTAAAATAATAAATATAATAAAAACAATAATAAAGTAGAATGATCAATGGAATAACAACAACAATACATTTATTATGTATTTCTAACAGGGTAAAATAATAAATAACCTTGACTCGGATATAAGCCGAGTGGGACTTTTTCAGCCTAAAAAAGGGCTGAAAAACTAGGCTTATGCTCGAGTATATACAGTAATACTAATACTAAACTTCATTTATACCCCGCCACCATCTCCCCAAAGGGGACTCGGGGCGGCTTACATGAGGCCGAGCCCAGAAATATATTACAGCAAAATAAAATAAAACCAGAACAATAGAAGTAACATCACAGTAAAATAGATAGAACATAGGAATACAATAAAACAATACAAAATAATGCAGTGAGAAATCAGTCGCAATGAGTAGATCAATAGGTACCGCTTCTGCGGGAAGATGATGGCGATCCATGCAGTCATGCTGGCCACATGACCTTGGAGGTGTCTATGGACAATGCCGGCTCTTCGTTGTCAGGGGAAAACTTAATGTCAGGGGAAAACTTTATTTTAGCACTATTATGGGTCCGCTGGTGGTGCAGCAGGTTAAACCGCTGAGCTAAACTTGCTGACCAAAAGGTTGGAGGTTTGAATATGGGGAGCGGGGTGACCTCCTACTGTTAGCCCCAGCTACCAACCTAGCAGTTCAATAACATGCAAATATGAGTAGAGCAATAGGTACTGCTTCTGGAGTGAGCTCCCACTGTTAGCCCCAGCTCCTGCCAACCTAGCAGTTCAAAAACATGCAAATGTGAGTAGATCAATAAGTACCGCTTCTGCAGGAAGGTAATGATGATCCATGCAGTCATGCTGGCCACATGACCTTGGAAGTGTCTATGGACAACGCCGGCTCTTCGGCTTAGAAATGGAGATGAGCACCACCCCCTGCCCCCAGAGTTGGACACGACTAGAATTAATGCCAGGGGAAACCTTTACCTTTATTTTAGCACTCTTATGGGTCCGCTGGTGGCGCAACGGTTTAAACCGCTGAGCTGCTAAACTTGCTGACTGAAAGGTTGGTGGTTTGAATCCGAGGAGTTCGGTGAGCTCCCGCTGTTCGCCTCAGCTTCTGCCAACCTAGCAGTTCGAAAACATGCAAATGTGAGTAGATCAATAGGTACTGTGGAAAAGTAACAGCGCTGGCCACATGTCCTTGGAGGTGTCTATGGACAACACTGGCTCTTCGGCTTAGAATAACAACAACAACAACAACAATAATAACAACAACATTTTACTTATATTCCACCCTTCTCACCCCAAAGGGGACTGAGGGCAGATTCAGGGGGTGCTGTCGCTCCATCCTCTAATGATGAAGAGCCATCAGGACTTCCTCCTTCCTTTTGATTGCCCAGCATTTTCTGATCTTCTTTATGTCATCGTAAAACACCTCCCCCGCTTTTAGTGGTACACAATTCCTCTAATTACAGCTAAATCTGTTTTCGAACTGCTTAGGTCAACAGTAAGCTGGGTTGACACTCGGCAGCTCACGCCGACCTGGGGCTTTGAACTTGCCACCTTTCAGTTAGTAGATCTTATAATTGCTGGTGATTTACTCATCCCTGCTCTTGGCCTTTCAGATAAAACCAGAAAGCAGCCCCAAGCCCTCGGCGCCACCCTTGCAGAGTGAGGTGAAGAAGCCCACGGAGGCCCCTGCCAAGCCACCCAGCCGCCCCCAGGTCAACGTCGCGGTGGTCCGTCGGCCGCCTCTGCTGCCCCGGGTGCAGGTCCACCCTGGGGACAGATTGATGGTGTCTTCCGGCGGGACGGCCATGCACCTATCTCCTCCTCTCTTGGCGCCAAAGCTCACCGCTGCGCCCGTCAGAGGAACGGTCAAGATGGCCCTCTCCGTGGGCTCGCCTTCCCCTATGTTGCTGGCACCGGCGGTGAATGGTCCGGCCAGCCTGGTGGGACCGCAGGGCGCTGTGCCGGTGATCAACATGATGCCGGTGATCAACGTGGCCGTGCCTCCTTCGGTCGCCGAGATCCTGCCTAAGCCTAAGGTTGCCTCTGTTGGCGGCGGGGTGAACGGCTGCGAGGCCAGGAAGAGTCCTTGCGAGGCCCCAAGAGCCAAGCCTCCCAGCAAGCGTCCGGCGGAGACGTGCGGGGACGCCACGGTGAAAAGGAAGCGTGGACGGCCCCGGAAGAGGCCCGATGAGCCGGAGAAGAGGGACGAGACCGAGAAGGCCAAAGAGGGTTCAGATATCGTCATCGTAAGGGTCGGTTACGAAGATCAAGCCGCCTCTCCGTCCTGCAAGAATCCGCCAGAAGAGAACCTTCCGGTGGAAGTGGCTTGCGGAGACGACCCCAAGACTACGGCTGATGCAAGTCCTTCAGTGGTCAGTGGACACATTGTATGTCCGCCCTCAAAACCGGCCGTCTTGCCCACCAAGGTGAGCGTCATCAAAGGCTGTGGGCCTCTCCCTCCCATCTTGGTGAGTGCTTTGCCAGAGCCCTTGCACGTGGGGCAAGGAAGTGGCCCCAACGTCGTCACGGATGAACCGGAGCAGCACTGCCCGTTGGATTTGGAGTTGCAACCTACAGATCTCTCCATGGGCAAGGCGCGCTCGTTGTCTGCCAGGGATACAGCGCAAAGCTTGCGAGCCTCTGCCGTGCGCTTGCATTGTGTCAACGCAGAACGGGAGACGGAGGCAGAAACGACGAGTCCCTCGACATCGTCGACGCAGGCCCCTAGTCGGTAACTCCCCTTCCCTCAAATATGAGTCGCGATGCCACGCTTTCCCTCCAGTTCGGCTGTTTTGCAGGTCCGAACTCGTACGCGGATACTTTCGAAATGACCGTCCGTCACACTTCATCCCCTGACATTGTGTGAGGTTGTGTCCCCGACAAGTTTGCCCGTCTTCGTGACCACCGACCATATCATTCCCCACCTGAAAAATATCAAAACTGCCCTCAGATGTTGACGTATACGAGGGTTGAATGAAAAGTAATGCCTCTACTTTCGTTGCTTGGGTTTGGATGGGAATATTTTAATAAATCAAATGCAGAAATAATCCTTTGAATGTGCTCTTCACTTTTCCACATAATCGCCAGACAATCGGATACATTTCTGCCAGTGATGAACAAGTTTTCAGAAGCCGTAACAGAAGAAGTCTGTGTGCTTTCATTTCAGGCGTCAGCATCCTGGGTACCTATTGTGCACAGATCTTCCAATAGCCAAATAAAGCAATAATACGACCCACACATAATCACCGGACAATTGGATACATTTCTGCCAACGATTAACAAGTTTTCTGAAGCCATCATGGAAGAAGTCTGTGCGCTTTCATTTCAGGCGTCAGCATCCTGGGTACCTGTCGTGCACAGATCTTCCGATAGCCAAGCAAAACAATAACGTGACTCATACATAATCACCGGACAATTGGATACATTTCTGCCAACGATTAACAAGTTTTCTGAAGCCGTAACAGAAGAAGTCTGTGCACTTTCATTTCCAGAGTCAGCATCCTGGGTGCCCATCGTGCACAGATCTTCCAATAGCCAAGCAAAGCAATAATACGACCCACATATAATCACCAGACAATTGGATACATTTCTGTCAACGATGAACAAGCTTTCTGAAGCTGTCACAGAAAAAGTCTGTGCGCTTTCATTTCAGATGTCAGCATCCTGGGTACCCATCGTGCACAGATCTTCCGATAGCCAAACAAAGCGATAATGTGACCCACACATAATCACCAGACAATTGGATACATTTCCGCCAACAATGAACAAGTTTTCTGAACCCGTCATGGATGACATCTGTGTGCTTTCATTTCAGGCGTCAGCATCCTGGGTACCATGTGTTGTCGAAAGCTTTCATGGCCGGAATCACTGGGTTGTTGTAGGTTTTTTCGGGCTATATGGCTATGTTCTAGAGGCATTCTCTCCTGACGTTTCGCCTGCATCTATGGCAAGCATCCTCACCTCACTACCTCTGAGGATGCTTGCCATAGATGCAGGCAAAACATCATGAGAGAATGCCTCTAGAACATGGCCATATAGCCCAAAAAAACCTACAACAATCCTGGGTACCCATCGTGCACAGATCTTCCAATAGCCAAGTAAAGCAATTATGTGACCCACACGTAATCACTGGACAATTGGATACATTTCTGTCAACGATGAACATGTTTTCTGATGCCATCACGGAAGAAGTCTGTGCGCTTTCATTTCAGGCATCAGCATCCTGGGTACCCATTGTGCACAGTCCTTCCGATAGCCTAGCCAAGCAATAATGTGACTCACACATAATCACCGGACAATTGGATACATTTCTGCCAACGATGAACAAGCTTTCTGAAGCCATCACAGAAAATGTCTGAGCACTTTCATTTCAGGTGTCAGCATCCTGGGTATCCATTGTGCACAGATCTTCCGATAGCCAAACAAAGCGATAATGTGACCCACACATAATCACCGGACAATTGGATACATTTCTGCCAATTATTAACAAGTTTTCTGAAGCCATCATGGAAGAAGTCTGTGTGCTTTCATAGGTAGCCATCGTGCACAGATCTTCTGATAGCCAAGCAAAGCGATAATGTGACCCACACATTCTTGTGAAATACCGATTATGCTTGAAATTTCTCTCTGAGTAATACGACGATTATCCTGAATCAATCTGTCAACCTTTTGCTTCTGAAACACGGTGGTTGCTGTCACAGGACGTCCAACTCTTTGTTTGTCACACAAATCAGATGTTCCCACCTCAACATCGCCCAACGACACACAGGACTCACATCAACGCAATCACCGTAAACAGCTTGAATTTCCTTTGGGGTGACACCTTCCACTGTCAAGAATTCAATGACTGCACATTGCTTAAGTCAAATTGACCGACCGTCTGTGCAGGGTTCCATACTTTGCACTTTAACAACACAACCGTGCAATGCTAAGGCTTCCCACCAAAATAGAACTGTAGAGGAGAGTCTACTGAACGAGCCAGTACCTGCCACATACCAGTACTGCCATCTGTTGAGGAGTTACGAAGGTGGAGGCATTACTTTTCATTCAACCCTCATGGGCATGGATTGCTCCAAAAGTCGTCAACAGACGAGAAACGTTCCCGTTTTCTGTTTTGTGGGTGGGACGTGAAGAAAATAATGGGTGGAAATCCCCCCATCCCTTTGTTTTGCTCTGATGTTTAGAGACAATAATCTCACAGCCAACATCCCAAAGAGGGGTTTAACGTGTGTGTGTGTGTGTGTGTGTATTTTTTTAAAGGAAGCATTTATTTAAACGTCTCCATGCATGACGTTGAAAAATTGGGACTGCCATCGCTTCCTTGTTTATTTGGATGAGAGGAAAATGGCTCTTTTTCTCGTCTTCATGCTCACTTTTTTATATCTAATGTTTTGGTTATAAATACTTATTAATAAGCACACATAATTCTTCTTTTTTTTAATTAAAAGCAGTCATTATGTGTTCCTGCAGTCATTTCCTGTCTCTTTCATCCTCGTTTTCTGAGTGTTGGATTCCCCCAGGCAGGAAGCAGCCAGGCTTTGAAGCTGCAAGGCCATTCGATGCTAATCAAGCTGGCCAATGGCAACATTCACACTTGCCTCCAACAACGAGTTCTTTCTCTCTTCCACCTCCCAACAAAGGATTCCCCCAGGCAGGAAGCAGCCAGGCTTTGAAGCTGCAAGGCCATTCGATGCTTATCAAGCTGACCAATGGCAACATTCACCACTTGCCTCCAAAAAAACAGGGGACAAGGGAAGTTTCTTTCACCCTCCTATTACATCCCAAAAACAAAACGGGTTCACCCCCCCAGGGCAGGAAGCAACGCCAGGGCGGCTTTGTGAAAGCTGCAAAGGGGCCCATTCGATGCTGTAATTCCATAAGTGGACCCCAAAATCGGGCAAACATTTTTCCAACTTGCCTCCCAAACAGTGACGGAGTTCTTTTCTCCCCCTAAACCTCCCAAACAAAAAGGGATTTTTCCCCCAGGGGGGCAGGGGAACAAGCAACCCAGGGCATTGGAAAATCTGCCCACAAATGCCCTTCGATGCTTAATTCAATGGCCTGGGCCAAGGCAACATTCACTGCTTGTCTCCAAAACAGACAAAGAGTTTCTTTCTCCCACCCCTAGTCTCGGGGAACTTCACTGGGCTGTTATTGTGGAGTTTTTCAGTTGTCCCAGAAACAAGCATTCCTCTTTCCTGATTGGTGTTTTCGGCCCCCCAAATCTATGGGCAGGGGCATTTTCCCTCCAGAGGGTCTGTTAGAAACTAGGCAAGTGGGGTTTATATATCTGGAAATGTCCAGGGTGGGAGAAAGAACTCTTTGTTTGAGGCAAGTGTGAATGTTGCAATTGGCCACCTTGATTAGCACTGAATGGCCTTGCAGCTTCAAAGCCTGGCTGCTTCCTGCCTGGGGGGAATCCTTTGTTGGGAGGTGTTAGCTGGCCCTGATTATTTCCTGTCTTGAATTCCCATTTTCTGAGTGTTGGATTCCCCAACAAAGGATTCCCCCAGGCAGGAAGCAGCCAGGCTTTGAAGCTGCAAGGCCATTCAATGTTAATCAAGCTGGCCAATGGCAAAATTCACACTTGCCTCCAACAGACAAGAGTTCTTTCTCCCACCCTGGACATCATTCCACAGATATATAAACCCCACTTGTTTCCAACAGACTTCACAACCTCTGAGGATGCCTACTATAGGTAAGGAGCCTTGTGTCGACTTCCTTCTTAATGTAAAGAACCTTGTAAACATTTCCTTAACTTAGCTGAGCACAGAAAACTCACAGCAACCCAGTAAGGAGCTTTGTGTTGACTTCCTTCTTAACGTAAGGAACCTTGTAAACATTTCCTTAACTTAGTGCAGAAAACTCATGGCAACCCAGTAAGGAGCCTTGTGTTGACTTCCTTCTTAATGTAAGGAACCTTGTAAACATTTCCTTAACCGAGCTGAGCACAGAAAACTCACAGCAACCCAGTAAGGAGCCTTGTGTCGACTTCCTTCTTAATGTAAGGAACCTGGTAAACATTTCCTTAACTTAGCGCAGAAAACTCACAGCAACCCAGTAAGGAGCCTTGTGTTGACTTCCTTCTTAACGTAAGGAACCTTGTAAACATTTCCTTAACTTAGTGCAGAACACTCACAGCAACCCAGTAAGGAGCTTTGTGTTGACTTCCTTCTTAACGTAAGGAACCTTGTAAACGTTTCGTTAACTTAGTGCAGAACACTCACAGCAACCCAGTAAGGAGCTTTGTGTTGACTTCCTTCTTAACGTAAGGAACCTTGTAAACGTTTCGTTAACTTAGTGCAGAACACTCACAGCAACCCAGTAAGGAGCTTTGTGTTGACTTCCTTCTTAACGTAAGGAACCTTGTAAACGTTTCGTTAACTTAGTGCAGAACACTCACAGCAACCCAGTAAGGAGCTTTGTGTTGACTTCCTTCTTAACGTAAGGAACCTTGTAAACGTTTCGTTAACTTAGTGCAGAACACTCACAGCAACCCAGTAAGGAGCTTTGTGTTGACTTCCTTCTTAACGTAAGGAACCTTGTAAACGTTTCGTTAACTTAGTGCAGAACACTCACAGCAACCCAGTAAGAAGCCTTGTGTTGACTTCCTTTTTAATGTAAGGAACCTTGTAAACGTTTCATTAATTTAGTGCAGAAAACTCACAGCAACCCAGTAAGGAGCCTTGTCTTGACTTTTTAACGTAAGGAACCTTGTAAACGTTTCGTTAACGCAGAAAACTCACAGCAACGCAGTATGGAGCCTTGTGTTGACTTCCTTTTTTTAACGTAAGGAACCTTGTAAACATTTCCTTAACTTAGTTTAGCACAGAAAACTCACAGCAACCCAGTGATTTTAGCCATGAAAACTCACAGCAACCCAATGCCTGCAATGGGTTTTTATAGAAGACTTGAAAATTGTATGCTTTTTCCTTTTTTGCATGATCTCAAGACATGGGCAACCTCATCTTGGCAGATGTAGTCTTTCAAAGGCCCCAGATGTCTTGTCATTTGAAAAGTTTTAGGCTGAAGGTGTATTGCTAGCTCT